TCCTTGCATGGTGACCCGTGTGCTGCTTCCAGCACTAATTTCAGTGTCAGACAGCAGTGTGGCCTTGGGCCATTGACTTGCTCTGATCTGTTTCTCTTTCTTGATTTTCTATTTTTGTTCTTCTTGGAGGGCTTGAATTCCAGCCCTGGACAATGAACCTACATGGTTTGTTCATTTGTTTTTTCCCTCCTCAAGTCTCGTGTCCTACTATTTTAGCCACTGCCTCACTTCTGGCTTTTTAATAGTTTTTTGGAGCTAAGAGTGTCATGGATTTTTCTGCCAGAGCTGGTGTAGAAGTTCAATCCTCTGATCTCAGCCTCCTGAGTAGCTAGAGTCACAGGCATTAGCCACCAGAGTCCCGATGCGTTTGTTTTTCTTGAACTACTTGCCTTCATTTTAGAAGATGGTCTAGGGACACAGAGTGGGCCACATGTGTTAGGAGGAAAGCAGAGCACTGAACACATGGTGTTCTGTCTGAATGAAACCATGCAGGAGTGAGTGCCTTCTGTCAAGCAGCACCCAGCAGGTCCCTCCTGGAAGACCAAGGACACCACTCCCCCATGTAGCAAGCTTGCAGCTTAAAGTATTTTGATTTTGAAGATCAAACATACATCACCACCAGCTAAGAAGTTCCAATAATCATATTTATTATTATTGACACCAAGGACAAGAGGTCTATTTTTTTAGGGGGGGTGAGAACTCTGGGCCTGGGCTCTGTCCCTGGGCTTTCCAGCTCAAGGCTAGCACTCTACCACTTCAACCACAGAGCAACTTCTGAGATTTTGGTCGTTAATTGGAGATAAGACTCTCACAGACTTTCTTGCTTAGGATGGCTTTGAACCATGATCTTCAGATCTCAGCCTCCTGAGTAGCTAGGATTACAGAGGGGAGCCACCGGTGTTGGGCTCATGAAGTCTAATTTTAAGGGGACATAAACAACACAATATACTCTGGAGAATGCCATGTGAGGATCAAGGTTTGAAGCCAGCCAGGGCAGGAATGTCTGAGAGACTTGAGAGACTGTTATTTCCAAATAGGGGGCAAAAAAGCCAGAAGTGACGCTGTGGCTCAAGTGGTAGAGTTACCGTCCTTGAGTGGAAAATTCCAGTGAGGTGACAGGGTCTGTGTATGTGCACACACACAGACACACAAGAAAGGAAAGGAAAAAGGAAGGAAGGAAAGAAGGAGGAAAGCAGATAACAAGGGAGAAACATGGGAAAAAAGGAAAGCAGGAAGCCACGAAGGAATGAAAGAAGGGAAAGGAAAGGAGGAAAGAAAAGAAGGAAAGAAAGAAAATATTGAGAAAAATCTCAGTTTTGACATTGGTCGAGGCATTTCCGGAGGAGGAAGAGGCCGCTTCGGAGACCCCAGTGGCCCTGGAGGAGCCAAGGTCACAGCAGCAGCAGCAGCAGCAGCAGCAGCAGCAGCAGCAGCAGCAGGAGCAGCAGCAGGAGCAGCAGCAGGAGCAGCAGCAGCAGCAGCAGCAGGGCGTGGGGGGAGGGCAGGGTCTGAGAGAGAAGCAGCCTGGGGAAGGGCTCCAGGGCCTGGGATGGGAGGGACAGCAGAAGCGGTGACCACGCCCATTCCGGTGACCACGCCCCCTAGACACACAGTGTCCCCGCCCCTCCCTCACCCACAACCCTCCGTGTGGCTCCGCCCCTGGGCCGTGGCCCCACCCCTCCCTCACCCACCCCTTTAAGTGGCCCCGCCCACACAGTGGCCCCGCCCCCGCGCCATGGCCCCACCCCTCCCTCACCCACCCCTTCACGTGGCTGTGCCCCAACGCGGTTGCCCCGCCCCTGCGCCGTGACCCCGCCCCCGCCATG